TAATACAGATCATTCTCATAATGATATACTACATTATATATTTTCCTAAAGTTAATCATTCCATATCATACTTCCTTCCCTGCAGGCGTGTACTATTATTTTTTACACATGGTTCCCAGCTGGATTTCATTGTGGCCTTCAAAACATATTGCAATGTTGTGTGATTTAATAGGAGTCACTTATCTTTTTCAAGTCAACTTTCATCGTATGAGGTATCTGTATGTTTTCTATCTGAATAGGCTAATACTTCAGAAATGTGAAAATTAATACCTATGAAAAGTAGAGGGGGTTCAAAAACAAAACAGTCTTGAGCCTTCAGTCTCTTTACACAACTGTGGACCTTTGCAACATGAAAGTGAAAATGCATTAGAAAAGCATAAACGTTTGAGACCTGTGGCTAGGGAACAAAACATGTTTCAGTTCAGATTTGCAAGGAGATGGGAAATGATTGGGGGAAGAAATAGGAAGTCAATTCCAGATGGTCAAAATTGAAGGGAAGACTTAACTTGTACTAATGCAAGAAGCAGAGGGTGGAATGAAAGTGGAGAGCTCGAAATGCTCAGAAAGGCAAGCTTGTGCTGCGATCCCAAGTGTGTGTGCTGGGAAATATGTGAAGACATTTGACTTACTTCTAAGCAATAGCATCTAAGAGAAGGCCTTCTTCACACAGCCTGCTCCAATTCTCTTATTTATAGTCAAATCGCAGTGAAGTCGTCCCGAGAAGTCAGCAGATGCAAACACAGTGGCATCTTTTCTTTCTTTTTTGCACATTTTTTATTAAGATTTTAACCTAAAGACTAAAAAAATAATCATCAAATACATCAGATGTACTGGGTCAGCCCCCTATAACGTATCTTTTAAACATTCTATAATCATATTCAAATTCTTTCTTGTTTACACCAACTGTAGGAACCTTGAGTTGTTTTGTTTGTTAACTGACATTAAGCTGCCCTGGCTCAGATGTTATGGGAACCTGGTTTAATCCAAGCCAGGATCTTCCCATCAAAGGGCATTATAGGAGGGGAGGGAGAGGAAGGAGCAGTCAGCCCCAGTGCTTACTTTCAGCTTCATGAACCATGGATTATGAAACCCAGAGTGATAACCTGAACCAGGCTTAATTTTCGAGTGTGCGTTATTTTATTTGGATCAGGGCCTTTACCAATCATCCATCCATTCTTTAAATAAAGTGAAAAGGATGAGATAAAGATTCAAGTGCAGTTGATTTTTAAAATATTGTTGTACCTAATTGAAAATGGTCTCATAGAAAAGAGGAACAAAAAACCTCTTGAATGAATGAATTGCTATGAAAGTGGTTTAAATAGGCCTCTCTTGGATGAATTCTTTGATTAATCCAAAGTAGTTAAACTGTTGTCAGGCTGGATTGTTTCTGTTTTTCGTATTTCCTGTTGTTTCTGTTGTTCCTATTGATAGATGAGATTAAACATACAACCCTTCCTCTTCTCATTATCTCTTGGTGTATCCCGTCAACATCTCTGACAAGGATATTTTAAGAAAATGTATAAATGCATCATTCATTTATTTAGCATTAGAAAGTATGTCAGGGCCCTGGCTTCTGGAAGTCACTGAGGCCAGGCTGTCTGTATGCTGCTTTGCAGAGAATAGGTAGTTTTAAAGTGCAGTGGTTTCAGAACTGGTTTCCCCACAAGAAGTATTCTCAGTGAAATGCAACTGACATTTGCTTTCCTCTGGCTGTATATGTTGTGAAACAATCGCCTCAGTCAGTGGTCCCCAACCTTCTGTCACATGGGAGCCACATTAGAGTGCTCAATGCCTAAAGAGGCCCTCGTCTTAAATCAAAATGCAACATAATTGTTAACCTACCGATTTAGGTCAGAAGTAAACATTCAGAGGCAGTGACGAAATGTTAACATGAATATAGTCCATTTTGGAACAAAATTGTGGAATCCTTTTATGTAGCTATTGTGTTTTTCATAAGAAAGGGACAGGAAAAACAGCAATAGTTGCTGTGTGAGGTGGGAAGAACAGGGTGGGTCTGCGGGAAAAAGCCTTGGGGGTGATAGCTGTAAACAAGCGGGTTGGGGGGCTGCACTGAAAGAGCTTGGGGGGTCACATGCAGCCTGCAGGCCGCAGGTTGGGGACCCCTGGTCTACATCATGTAGAACTGGGGCTAAGAGAAGCACCACTGGAACTTTGCCAATGAATCCCTGTTGAGGAGTCGCCCACGTTGTAGTGGGCTTTGTGAGGCTACATTCTTTTAACCCAAGCTCCTCTATTCAGCCGCGATGCAACTTTGCTCATATGGTGGAAGACCAGGGCCAGCTCCCCTTCAGCATGGTTGCACAGGGGCTCCGATTCCATGCAAGGGCCCTTTTCAGGGGATCCCCCCTCCCATAAGAACACATGTGAGCAGCACCTTTGCATAGCCCAGTCTCTCCCTGATAGGTGCGTAGGACTCAAATTGCTTTTACTCAGTGCTGTTGCAGCACCATCATGGCTAAATATATGAACATTTAGGTTGAACTGAGAGCCAGTGTGGTGCTGTGCAAAGCGCATGGGGCTGGGACTCAGGCGATCTGGGTTCTAGTCCCCACTCGGCCATGGAGCCCACTGGGTGAATTTGGGCCAGTCAGACTCTCGAGCAGACCTACCTCACTAAAGTTGTTGTGAGGATAACATTGAGAGGAGGAGGAAGAGGAAAATTATGTGAGCTACTTTGAGTTCTTTAAAAGAGAAGGGCAGAATAATTAATTAATTAATTAATTAATTAAAGCCATGTTAAAAACAGAAACTTCAAGAGAGAATCTGACTATCCTGTGGGTTAATGGATTGATGCATGTTACAGCAAAAGAAGAAAGGTGACCTATTTTATTTGTAGGATCTTTCCTTCCTATTCTTTTAATTTAAACACATTTCCCATTATGGGGTGAGGGGAGGTTGAACCAGTTTGCTTTTAGCAAATGAGTGTGACATTCCTTTTTGTAGATAAGTTATAATAAGTTCATTTAAATATGTAGATGATCAGGGAAACATTGACCTTAAAATTGAACAATACAGGACCTACCATGTAGTGGTTTAATGAAGTCAGGGATTTGAAGGACTCTACTTCTCACTTTTTTTCTTCTTGTCCTTGTTTTTCTTTGCTGATGCCAGTATACTGCACTGGGTCACACATGCATGTCATTGTTGAAAAGCGATGAAGCAGGAGTGCCAAGAACATTTATTTCAACTCATCACATTCTGTAGGCCATACTGCTGTTTTCTTGCTTGCTGCATAATCATTGTAAGCTACCTTCTATCAGTTCTTGAAAAGAAACACATTTCTTGTGCCTTCCAATGCTGATAGCTGAATGAGACCTTTAAATTCATCTATCCAAATTTCCTCCCAGTTCAGGTCTGGTATGGTCGCTCAGTTTGTTTTAGACTGCCTTACAAATGATTTCAAGCTTTCCTCTTAATTGTTAGTGGCTATTAAAATCCTTTATAGATTTTTTTCTGTGAGTTTAAATGTAAAAAAACTTGTAAAAAGCACAACAGAGACTCATATAAGTTTTGTTTTTTATACTTTTATACTTATATGTCACTTATTTCTCATATAGCAGTATATGGTTAAAGAGACAAAAATATTTTTAGTGACATTTTATTTTTAATAACTGTATATGGATTGTAAGGATGGAGTATATATCTTATACTTTCTTTAATACATAATACATGTTTCTAATAAAATCATCCCATCATCCAAGAATATAGTTCCCCAGAGATTTTTAATGGTGCCTTTGAAATGGCTTTACATTCAGATCTCCTATCATAGGACAGTCTTAGTACACATGGTGTGTTCTGAAATCTTCATGCAGTGTTATAGATATCCCCAAAGTATTCTGTATTTTGAGGTGCCTTCTTTGTTTAAAGATTGCAGCTTCTTGAAAATGAGTTGTCCAAATAATTTAAGAGTACTGTTGTTTGGTTGCGAAATGAAGTCCTACGATGGATCTTATCCAATTATTTTAGCATGAACCTGACAAAAGATGGATGATAAGGAATCACAGAATGTTGTCATTATAAAGATCTCCAAGATTAACAGGCCAGCAAAATTACCTCCAGGATCAGTTGCAGTAGAACACGAAGGGGAAGCAAAATTACACTCATATCCTGTTTGCGGACTTTCCATTGACATCTGGCTGGCCACTGTGGGAACAGAATACCCACTAGATGGGGGTTTGGTTTGTTCCAGCACAGCTCTTTTCTTCATTTACACATTGCATTGTTTGTTTGACCTAAACTATCTTTGACATACATTCCGCTCAGTCCAGCTTTGGAGCCACACCTCTTGTGGCAGAAATGGCAGAAGCAGTATTAAGTGCAAGGTGTTCTTGAGGTATGAGTGCAGAACTAGATGGCAGAGATGCCTCTCCCAGTGTAACCAAAATCTAACATTAGATTTTGGGGAAAAGATGCTTATGGGAGTTGCCTTTCCACGAGGCAGAGCAAAGAGCATGTCTTGAAGCTTTTATCCTGTGCAGACACAGCATCTGTTATTCTTACCTCATCCCAGTGAATGTGAGGAAGGCTGTAAGGAAGAATTGTCACACTCACTTTCACACACTCCACACACAGAGAGATTCCACAGAAAGGAGGAAACGTTACATTCTGGCCCATAGGCACATGTGTGGAGACTTCATATCAACCCTTATCTTGTGAGTGCTAGAAGGAAACAGCGCCTGCTCCTTCTCCATGCAAAGAGAACCCTCAGCCCCAGGGAAGTGCATGAGCCAGGGACTGCCTCCCTTTGGGAAAAAAAAGAAAAGAAAACATTTCTTCAGAGCATTTGCAGTAGTACAGAAGAGAGGGTGACCCAGGAGGACAAGATTCTTCTTCTTGCATAATACAGGCTTAGTTTCTTCATTTTAGAAAGACCTGGCTAGCAAGGACAAGTATGGAGGCATTCGTTTTATTAAAGGATCAAACCAATCCGGTGTCGTGCAAGACTTGCCTTAAATATGTATGCACTTTTGCTTTTTCAGGTCCTTCACAGACAGCAATCCCAGCCAGCCAAGGAAAACTCGCCTCCAAGAGAAGAGGCCCCGCCCCCACCTGCAGAAGACACATGTACTAAAAAAACACGTTCCCGTACAAAGATTTCTTTAGAGGCTTTGGGCATTCTTCAGAGTTTCATCCATGATGTTGGCCTCTACCCTGATCAGGAGGCCATCCACACGTTATCTGCTCAGTTGGATCTGCCTAAGCACACCATTATCAAATTCTTCCAGAACCAGCGTTACCACGTCAAGCATCACGGGAAGCTAAAAGAGCACTTGGGTACTGTGGTGGATGTGGCAGAATACAAAGATGAGGAGCTGCTGACTGAGTCAGAGGAGAATGACAGTGAGGAGGGCTCTGAGGAAATGTACAAAGTGGAAACTGAAGAAGAGAATCCTGAAAAAAATAAGGCAACTACTTCAGAAACTGACCAGAGATAATGTGAAAACATCACAGGCAAAGCAATACATTGATCCAAGTTTTTGGTTTTCGTGCTTCTCCTCCTTTTTTTTTTTTTTTAATGTGTTTGGGTTTTTTTTCCAGTGCACATAGAGAATGTGCAAATTGAACAATTATTTTGCATAGCCCAATCAGACATTCCCTTGTAACAGGCACTTAAGTGTTACACTTGTTGTTTGACTGAGACAATGTTAATTGTAATTCACATAGGATTACATTATCCTTAACCTTGCACTTACGAAAGGAACCTCTAGCAAGTTACAGGAAGAACTAGACCTATGAAATCAATGAAGGAAACGATAACAACGTGTGTGTGTGTGTGTGTGTATATATATTATATATATATTTACATCAATATATATATATATATGAAATTTGCATGGGACATAACATTACAATCTGAAAGTATAGACTGTGAAATGAGCTCGTTAAAGATGAGTCTTGTTTATGTATTAAAAAAAACCACTTCACAATGAGTTGCTTTGGCTTTTAGATAAACTGCTGCCTGCTCTCAGGGTGTGGTTACTATTTTGGAATACCTATTTATTTTCTATGTTTATCCCTGATTCTTTTTATTATTATTAAGGCTTCCATTTTGGCAGCTTGATGGGTAATTTTTGAGGTATGCATTTTGAAAACCTAAATCAACACTGCCAAAAAAAAAAAAAAAAAAGTGAGAAAGAGAGAAAATGGGGACAAAATCAGGGCACCTTAAAAATAAAATCCCAAACCAAGTAATTTTAAAAAATAAAGTCACAGAGCTTTTTTTATCATTTCTGTAGCAAATAGATGGATTTTCATGTTCACTGATGAACTTTTCAGTGAGAAATCAGTGCATGGTAGACTTGTCTGCTAATGAGGTCTTCATGAAAAGTTGCTTTTATGAGATTTAATGTGTGGATTTTTACATTAAGCCACAGTTTATAGTGGTGTTATTTTTCAAAGGCACAAACCATCTTCACTGTTGCTGTGCAACTTCTGCTACCTTCAGTGAGGTTTGTGCAGCTTTGGTTTCTGTTCCTCTGCTCTTCTAGTGTTTGTCTGATATTTATGTTTAGGGCCGTGTTGAAGCTGTTTCAACAAAGCTTTTACAAATGAAATCATAAAACTGAATCACAGCTATAATTCTGGGCAGGTTTGACTGGTTCTTAATCAGCCGAAGGGTCTGCCGGTTCTCCAGTGTAGGATTTCCTCCTGTACCTCCTTTATTTTGTTTCTGCTGCATTTGGATTCGTATGCGTAAGGCTCATTCTCTCAGTGAGACGAGACATTTTCAGCCAGTAGTCTCCCAAGGTACAGTCTTTCTATTGTGTATGGCAGACTTGGTGGGAACACATTTTTCTGAACTTGCTGCAATTCTAGGCAGTGAAAGTAAGCCAAGCAATTTTTGTGTAGTCACTTCCTTGTCGTAAACCGAAGCCTTTTCCCAGGGACCCAGCATAGCAGTTCCATTACATAAAGCAGGACTAATGCTGACTGACTGTATGATGGTACTAGCATTAAAGCTGCAATCTACTATGGTTTCTAACAATTTTCTGAAGCTGTGGTTTGGAAGTGATGCGAGCAGTGTTACTGTTCCTCCTCTCCATTTTTTAAAAATAAAAAAGGATATTTTGACTTCCTAACGTGTCTGGGTTGTTTTCTAGGCTTTAACATTCATTGGCAGTCTTCTTTTTGACATGTGCTTTGTAACTTTTAACAAAGACCTCATGCAATATCACTTGGAAAGCTATCTTATGTTTCTTGCACAGGCATTGTAAATTAGAACTGTTAATACTATTTATATATTTGAAAGGTATAAAAGGCAGGCATTAAAACCTCTGTATAGATAGTTACTCAGAACGTAACAACATACAGGGAGATGACATGTTGCAATACAAGCTAATTCTAGCTGCTCAGTAACCTCCAAAGTTTTTAAAGGGACTTTTCCAAAATCAATATTTGACATCCACAGTGTATCTGTATCCATTTCATATATCCTTGAAAAAACAAAGTTGGCTTGCTGACTTAACTCATCATTCTTTCCTTCTGTAGTATGCTGCAGCTTTAATCAAGAATTCAGTAGGCGCTGCTTTATGTTCTCCTTCAATTTACACCTTTCAAACTCTTATCTGAGACTCTCTTGCAGAAATCACTACATATATGTAATATGGTCAAGCTCTCATAAGGTTATTCATCTCTTTGATAGCATCAGCATTGGTTGTTTTTTTTTAAATACTTCAACCAAAAAAATTAGTAGGTATTTTTTTCAATGCTGAGTCTTGCCTCTTCCTCCTCCTTCTCCTTTTAAATTTCACTGCCAATTTTGCAGTGGTTCTTCTAAGTGAATCTGTGGGCATTTTTGCCTGTGGTCTTGCCAGAACTTTGCGAATTACAATGCATATATGTCTATTTATTCAATATTCATCATATAATATCTATTTGGAAAAAGAATCTTTTCTTGTAGTGCCTCTTAACAAAGCACAATTTTCCGCCTTTTTTTGTGAAATAAGAGAAAACATAAAAAAAATGTGTTATTGCGGTATCAACAATGTGAATGAGGATTAACATATTGTAAATGTTCTTTTTCCATGTAAATCAACTTGATCTTTGTTATCACTAAGTGATAATTAAATTTTAACTTATGTGCATTGTTAGTCTGTTAGAATTTTTTGGTTGTTGAAATAAAACACATTCAGTAAATGACTTAATTTGTGATGTCATCTTTTGCGCCCATCAAGTTTCCTTCCCCTTTTTCTGAATCATAAGCGCTCAAAATAAATCCCATCCTCATTTTTTGAAATGAAATATAGGCCACTTTCCAGTGACCCTCTTTAGACATATAAGAGCGCACAATGAGTCTAGTTATCCCTCCACTTTTCCTCTAAATATAATCTACCCCTTTTGTGTTACTTCACAAACTGCTTTTACAGTTATTATTGGCTTACTACACTTGCATCCAACTTTTACTTTATTGAGCGCAAGCTGGCACACACAGACCCCCCCTCCTTTTATCCTCAAAATTTGTGATAAACTGTCATGAGATTTTTAATGAATGATGGTATATAATTTTTTAAAATAGATAAAAGAACCCAACCCTATGAGGAAGGTTGGGCTGAAAAATAGTGACTGGTGCAAAGTTGCTAAATAAGCTTCATGGTGGAGTGCGGATTTGAACAGTCCTTGCCCAACACTTCAGAGCAACAAGCAGGTTTGGGAGAAGAGCAGGGAAGTAGTTCAGTTGCCACTTGGCAAATTAAATTGCATCAAGCATAATGAAATTAACTGTATCTAAAGCCAGATTTGCAAGTTAAATTCTGTTTCCCCTAATGCATATTCCTGTTTATAATTTAAGCACAAACACACACCGATCTTGTGTGAAGGAATCTCCTGAAATGCAAATGAGACTTGAATTTCTGTCAGGGACGTTCTGCTAACGTATGTTACACAGGAGTGCTGGAAGAAATGAGGCATATAAAATAGGTGATAATTTGGAGAGAAGATAACAAATGTATATATTGGCTCAGATTCTAACAACCAGCGTCATTAGTTTGAATTCACTTCTTGGAGCACAGATTGTATATTAAGACTTACTCATACATTAATATTATGTTTCAATATTTTGTCCTGATCTAACTTTCCATGCACATTTTTTTTTGGAAAGGTGTGACTTAGTGTGTGGCTTTGTGGCATGTGTTGAGGAAGAGTTTAAATTATGCTGAATTTGATGTTGTATGTTGTGTGTATGCATTTCTTCTGTAGCTTTATGTATAGTGCTGTTCAAGGTTCCAAACTTTTTGTAACTACATATACATGCTTTTGAGTTGTTCTAAGAATCTTTATCTAAAACACTGGGAGAGCATTTTTCATGTTTCCGTTTGTGTATGTGTGTTCATAAAAAAATCTGAAATGTATTTACCCATCAATGGCTGACTGGCAGTCCCAGTGAAAGGTGGATCTCTTTGGGCCCTCCATGATTCTGATGCCTAAAGTAAGACCAGACTTGTAGTCTGAAGTGGCTGAGATGAGCATGGAAAGAGTTTTAAGCATGGGATAGTTCACTAGCAAGAATGGAGAGAATGCAAGTTGAACTGGATGGAAGTTCAGCTTGGGCAGAGTGACTTCGGAATTAATATGAGAGAGAAATGACTTTTTTGGTGCATTATGATGCTTGACTCTGCTCAGAAAAGTGGAGTTGGGTGGGTGTCAAATTTCAGCCTAAAGGGTATGGTGGCCTCTGATGTGAATGGATGTTGGGCTTTTTCCAAAATGTCGGGATACATTTGGGGTACTGATGGATATGTGACCTTGCTTAAAGGTGTAGGTGACCTTTAGGATATGGGTGGTAGTTTTTGCTGATGCAAAACATAATGAGCCTTACACAAAGGTATGAAGTAATTTTTGAGGGATATAACAGTACACAGAAGTGGATGACATTGGGGGTGTGGCTAGCCTTGCCAAAGTATTTAACTGCATGAAGACATCACCCCCCCACCCCCCTGGAAAAAACCCAATGAGAGTTTCATGAATAACTTTGGCCATCTTGTAACTACATCTGCCCAGGTTTTCTGCATTTGTAGGCAAACCCTGTCTCTCCCTCCCATACACACACACACACACACACACACACACACCCCTCAATCATCACCTTATATTAAACTGCAACCTAGATGTTACAAAATTAAAGGAATGCAAGATACTGTGACTAACAGAGCTAACTGTGGGCACTTAACTCTCCACAAAGAAAGACAAATAGCCCAAGAGCCCAATGGGGCACACTATGTGAGACATGAGACCACCTTATCCAGACAATGAGGCACAACAACACACTGTGCTATAAACCAGAAGTAGGCAAAATGGTGCCCCACGGCACCAGAAGGTCCCCATGAACCTTTCTTGGCACTTGCCAAGCTGCCCTTCCCCTTCCCTTTTTTATTAAAACAAAATCAAAATTTTGCTAGAAAGCTGGGATTGCTTGAAAGCAAAGTGAAGGCAGCTGCTGCCATCTTCAGTTCCCATTAATGTCTAAAGACCACACATGGAGTTCAGAGACATTCTTGGGATATGAAATTGGTGGGCACCTGCAGGCCAGTGCTTTCCTTTGCCAGTCATCAAGGAAAACGGGGGAAAGAGAACAGGCCCCCCATCAGCTCTGTCTAGCAAGCTTGGGGAGAGGGAGAGGGGTAAGGGGATCAGAGGGGAGCAGGAAGCAAGTTCTGTGGGCATGTGGACAGAGGGGGAGAGGAGAGGGTGCTCAGCTAGTGGGGGTTGAGGGAGCCCACTGGGAGCAAATGTGTGCTTGCATCCCTGTAGAAGGGCTGCATCTGGTCCCATCTGTCTGGTCAAACACTCAGAAAGGCTGGGCGTTGAGGTACAAAACATCTGTAGGGGCCCCCGTTGAGCACCATGGCAATACAGCCCTGAAAGGGCCAACGATGCTCGCTTTTGTAATGCTGGGCCATGAACTGAACTGAGCACGAGGCCTGTAAGACTCCCAGGTCCTCTCGGTGTTTTGCATGCCTTATGCTTCTGCCCAGCTACATCATCACACACACAGCTTTGACCATGGCTGGAAGAGGTCCTCGGGACAGCACAGTCATTCCCCTGTCATCTCTAATCT